CCCCCCCCCCCCCCCCCCCGGAGTTTCCCTGGGTCTTGGTGAAGAAGCCTTGCCCCATTCATTAACTGGAAACTCAGTCACAAGCCCCTGCCTTTCCCCATGAAAGGCCCCGGGACCCTCCTCGTCTCCCTTATGCTACAAGACCCTGAGTGCGGGTCTCATCCGTGCAGTGGGGGAGGAGGAGAGGAGATAAAGCCCCTTCTGCCCAAGGTGTCTAAGTAGATCAGAAAAGGGACATCTCAGCAGGGGCTTCCCGTCCTCCAGCGTAGAAACCATCCGTGGCAGCATTCATTTATCAATTTTTGTTGTAACAAATGCCTAGAGAGAAAGGGAAAAGGGAGAGGAAGCAGGGCCAGGGGACACCATTGGCCTCCAAGTCTCTGAGGACGGGGATGTGCATCTGAGAAGCTGAGTTCCCAAGGGCTGAACGGCTTGGAGCAGGTCAGAGGGTGCGGAGCGCTCTTCCGGGCTGGGACGCAAAGATCAGGGGGCTTTTGGAGTCCCACTGACCCTGGCGAACGCCTTCCCTTAGGAGCTGGTCCCCGGCTTCCTCCCCCGGGCGCCCCGGGGCTGGCTCAGCCCGGGTCCCACGTGAGGCCGCGGGGGCGGGCGCCGGCGCCTTCCTGCCCTGCCCTTGTATGGCGACCCGGGAGGCCGGCCCACCGCTACTTAAGCCCGGGCGCCGCCGAGGGCGCCCAGAGCCGACAGGTCAGGCAGCGCGAGAGCTCGGGAACGCGGGGCGGAGGGCCGGAGAGGAAGAGCGAGGAAGGAGCGACGGCGGAGCGCGAGAGGCGGCTGCCCGATGCCGGCCGCCCCGGGGCTGGAGGCGGCGTAATAACTTCGTATAGCATACATTATACGAAGTTATCGGACATTCTATAAGTAATGATAATTTAAGCAAATTGATGTAATAATGAATGCTGACAAAGGTACGGTTTTCATTTGAAGTACTGATTATGAGTATAATTACTGAAATTCCACTTGTAGTACATTTCATGTGTTGAAACAAATTAAATAGAAAATTTACAATAATGTTATTTTTGCATCATAATGTGCTGTATATGTAATGAAGTATTTAACTCTACCGTTTTCAAGTATTTTTCAGAAAGATTCTAGTGAATGTAGTTAAGTGCAAGAGTAGAAGCCAAAGTGAATAGATGAGCTAATATTGCTCTCTAGTGGACAAAATGAGACATGACATATTGGATTTATTTATTAAAGATGCCGTTCCTGTTAGCCCAGGGAACGCCTAGGAATTGGATGTTTCCAATTTATCATCTGATCTTATGGTGTTGTGTTTTTTCAATTTAATATTTAAAATATGAATCATTACATAAAGGTTTAGAATAAGCAATGAACAAAAAAATACGCAACCAATCCGCTTCTGAAAAAAGCGTTCAAATTTCTTTAACAAAAAAATACAAGTTAAGAAAAGGATGGTATACTTTTTAAAATCTATCCAATCAGTTAAGTTTGGAAACAAAGCAAAGGTGTGAGCAAAAAGGCATTTATATTGTTAGTAGAGACATAAAATGGTAGTGGGTTCTCAGCCTGGGGTTCTTCTGGTGGGAGGGTTCTGAAATTGTTTGAAAATTTTTGAGTGTATTTGCCTTTTTTTTCTGAGAAGAGGTACAAGATCCATCTGGTTCTCAAAGTCTGTGCTCTGAGACCTCGGCCCCCGCGCTGCCGCCTGCAGGGGCTGAAAACAGCCGCTCGGACCCCAGGGCCCCCCTCTATGACCAGGTGAGTCGAGTTCAGGGCTCCTTGTCACTGTCGGCCCTCTCCTCCCCCCAGGCAGGATAGGCGCCTCTAGGGAAAGAACCTGCCGCTTGTGGATGCGAGGAGTCTGTCCATACACACACTCACCTTTATGACTATATGTGTGTGTGTAGGGGGGAGCATGCAGACGGGAGCACGTGCGTATGTGTGGGGTGCGGGTTACTCATTTGTGCCTCTGTGGGTCTGTGTACGTCTGCATGTATGTTGTGGGGCATTAAGGGGGCATGTGTATCTGTGAGTGTAGAAGTGTATGTGTGGCCCCTTGTGTCCTCATATTCCCCAGCCCTATTGCTGGTCAGGAAGACTGGCTGATGGCTCCTGTCGTCCTGGGCCAGTGGGAAATGTCCCTGCCCCTCCGGTGCTCAAGCCCTCCAGACTGGGGCCGAGAAGGTCTCACCACCCTTTTTCTCCCTCCAGGGTGGCCCTGTGGAGATCTTGCCTTACCTGTTCCTGGGCAGCTGCAGCCACTCATCTGACCTGCAGGGGCTGCAGGCCTGTGGCATCACAGCTGTCCTCAACGTCTCTGCCAGCTGCCCCAACCACTTTGAGGGCCTTTTCTGCTACAAGAGCATTCCTGTGGAGGACAACCAGATGGTGGAGATCAGTGCCTGGTTCCAGGAGGCGATAGGCTTCATTGGTAAGGAGGGACCTCAGCCTGGGGGCCTGGAGGGACACCAGGAGAGGGGCCTGGGGGCACCTGTCTCCTTGCCTGTGTACCTTCTTCTCTGACCCCCTGCCCCTCCATGTCCCTTGCAGACTCAGTAAAGAACAGTGGGGGCCGGGTGCTGGTGCACTGCCAGGCGGGCATCTCGCGCTCTGCCACAATCTGCCTGGCCTACCTGATACAGAGCCGCCGTGTGCCGCTGGATGAGGCCTTCGACTTCGTTAAGCAACGCCGGGGCGTCATCTCCCCCAACTTCAGTTTCATGGGGCAGCTGCTGCAGTTTGAGACCCAGGTGCTGTGTCACTGAGGCAGGGCCTCCCTGCCTGTTGGCACCACTATGCCAGCTCTCACATGGCTGATTGCTGGGGGAGCTGACTGTGGACAGCTGGGCTCCCCTCTGCCCAGCACACCCCCTCATCTGGGGGTGTGTTAGGAATGCAGGGATGCTGGCCTTTCTGACCTGGTGCTCTTCTGCCAGGAGTTTGAGGGCTGGCCCTCATTCAAGGGGAGAGTGGAAGATAATGTCTGCTCTCTCCTCCCCCATCATCTGGCAGAAATCAACTGGACTCTAACGTCCATGGACTCCGTGTGGTCCACCACCATGTTGAAACCCTTGGTACCTGAGAGCACCAAGGGACAAGCTGTGACAACCAGGAGTCTTTTCTGGGGGGGTGGTCCACCTGGGGCCTGGAGCCCGAGCCCTGTGCCCCTGGGGGAGCTGGGAACTCGGGAAGTGATGCGAGTGTCATGTTAGGGACCTCTTGCTTGCGTGTGTATGTATGTGAGCATCGCTCGCTGTGTTGGCGCTGGAAAGTTATTTGTGTTCAAGTGACATTTAACACTCCCTCCCCCACTTCCTCCCAGCCCTGTGGGCAGGGGTTGGAAACTTAGCACTTTATATTTATACAGAACACTGAGGATGTGTTAATAAAATATTGTTTTGTTTAAAAAACAACTCTGCAAGTGTCCGGTCTCAACGCCTGGGAGAACACTCAGAAGCTGTTTCTTTTTTTTTTTTTCCTTTTTTGTCTTTTTTACTGACCGGTAATGGGATCGCAACCCTCGGTGTTGCGCCCACACCACGCTCAGCCAGTGAGCGGAACCGGTCTCCACATGGGATCCGAACCCTCGGCGGGAGCGCCGCTGCGCTCCCAAGCGGCGCACTCTCCAGTGCGCCACCGGGCTGGCCCAGAAGCTGTTTCTTAATCAGACCTCATCTTTCCTTCTGCTGGCAGAGCCTGGAAGTGGAAAGACAGAGGGGGAGGCAGGGACAGGTCTGTCCTCACCCTCCAGGGGCTGACCTGCTGGCCCCAGTTCCTCTCCTGGGCTGGTGTCCTTTTCCAGATGGGGTTCTAGCCTCAGAGCTGACGGGGGTCATTTTTGGGAGGCTGGCTCCTGTCCACGATTCAGAACTGGGCCCAGTGCTACCCTGATCAGACCCCACATTTTTTTTGGAACATGAAGGATGGATGCATATGTGTGCCCGAGTGTGTGGCTGTTCCTGTGGGTGTGAGTTGTTCTGGGCCTGTGCACACCTATTGTCCTGTGTGGCTGTTCCTGCAGTAGTGTGTGTGCCCCAGGTGTGTGTCTGTTCCTGTGGTAGTGTGTGTGTGGCTGGTCCCATGGGTGTGTGTGTGTGTCCCAGGTGTGTGGCTGTTCCCGTGGGGGTGTTTGTGCATCCCATGTGTGTGGCTATTCCTGTGGGAGTGTGTGTGTCCCACGTGTGTGGCCGTGTACCGTGTGTGGGGCTTTCCATGGGAGTGTGTGCATGTCCTCTGTGTGTGGGATGTTCCAGTGGGAGTGTGCACATGTGTGTGTCATGTGTGGGCTGTTCCTTTGGGAGTGCCTGTGTGTGGGCCCATGCATGAGGCTCCTCCCTTGCCGTGTGTGCATGGCTGGCCCGGCCTCTACTTCCCCACAGGCAGGCAGCACAGCCTCTCAACTTACCCCACATCTGCTGGCTGGGTGCCAGGCCTCAGTGTGCTTGTTGGGGCTGGGGCTCACTGTCCCAGAGTTCCTTCCTGTTTCCAGAGGCATGTGCCCAGTGTCCAGGTCAGAGGACTTGTCATGAGGGTGGGATTAGTTGCTCTTCATACCTACCCCCACGCATTCTTCCCTGAACATTGGTTACGTGCCCAGCTCAGTGCAGGGTGTCTGTGGACATGGACCAGCCCGGCCAGAGGCAGAGGGGCACGTGCCGAGCCTGCCAGAAGCGCGTGCTGTGATCTGCCTTGAGAGCAGGGGGCTGAGTCCTTGGGGATGGCTGTGCAGTGGCCGGTCCTGCTACAGCCTCACCCTGACACTCTTGGCCACTTGGGGTGCCATCCAGCCACCCTCACTTGGTCCTTCCAGACTCAGCTCACTCCACCCAATGCCATTCCTTATGGCATCCCAAGTACCTGGCAGAATGCACTTGGTGGGGCTGGGGGATGAGTGGCAGCATAATTCGATGGTTAGAGGGCTGGTTTTGCTTAACCTCCCGAAATTACGATGGTTGGACTTAAGGATTTTTCAACTTTATGAAGGTACGAAGGTGATATGCATTCAGTAGACACCATACTTTGGTACAGTATTTCATACATTCGACACTTTACTATAAAATAGGCTCTGTGTTGAATGGTCCTGCCCAACTGTAGGCTAACACAAGTGTTCTGAGCACATCTAAGGCAGGCCGGGCTAAGCTATGGTGTTCAGTAGGTTAGGTGTATTAAATGCACTTTCAATTTACGATTTTTCAATCCACAATGGATTTGTTGGGGTGTAACCCCATCATAAGTTGAGCATCTGAATATGAGTTTCCTTGTCGATAAAATGGGGTTTTGTCATCAGCCCCCCACCTCGTAGGGTGTAGACTTACACAAGCCAACCTATGTAAAGGGCTTAGCTCAGCATCTGCACGTAGTAGGTGCTCAGGAAACGTTAGCTATCGAAGGCCCTAGGAGGGACGTTTTGCAGATGTGCTGGTGTGCAGGTGTGTGCAGGTGTGCATCTGGACTAGGCTGGACGCTCATGAGGGCGGGGCCTGGGGTCCGCTCAGCCCTGTGCCCAGAGCCCAGCACAGGTGGGCACTTGCTCCGTGAGGCCGGATGAGGGATGAAGAGCCTGCCCTTGGTGCCTGGTTCCTCTGCTCCCTGGGGATGGGGCGAGGTGCTCCTGGTGAGAACTGCGCAGAGCTGGGCTTGTAATCCGCCCTTCCTCAGGATCTGAGTGGGCTCCTTTTGGGACCTGCCTATTACCCCCATGTCCAGCTCGGCATGGGTGGGGGGGTTCACTGGGACTTCCCACCCCATAGCACTGTCTCACACACAGCAGGACTGTAGCTGAGGGCTCTGCCCGCCCACCCTCGCCCCTACCCTGTCCCACCCTACCCAGCCCCACTCGACCCTCCCCTTCCTGTGTTTTCAATAGTTTATCTTCCAAACTGTCTTTCTATTTCTCTCTGTTTCTTTTTCTTTTAAAAAATTTTTAATTGTGGTAAAAAACACATGATAAAATTTACCACCTTTGCCACTTTTAAGTGTTCAGTAGTGAAAGGTGTATTCCCATTGTTGTGAGATAGGTGTCCAGAACTTTTCATCTTGCAAAACTGAAACTCTGTACCTATTAAACAGTAGCTCCCCATTTCTCCTCCTCAGCCCTGGGCAACCTCTATTTATTTCTGTCTCTCTGAATTGGGCGACTCTAGAGCCCTCGTGGAAGTCGAATCATACAGTGTTTGTCTTTTTGTGACTGGCTTAGTTCACTTAGCGTAATGTCTTCAAGACAAACTGCATTTCTTAACCAAGAATCTCTTTCTCTCTTCAAGCAAGGTGGTTATTTATTAT